AAAGGTAAGAAGAGACAAACCTTGTGTTGAATTGGGAGAAATGCCACTTCTTGGTGCAAGAAGGCATCCTCTTCGAGCACAAAGTTTTGAGGAATGGATTAAAGGTGGACATAGCCAAGATAGAGACAATCGAGAAGCTTCCACAATTATCTCTGGTAAAAAGTATTAAAAGTTTTCCTGGTCATGCTGGTTTCTATTGAAGATTCATTAAAGACTTCTCCAAACTACTAAACCTTTGTGTAACTTGTTGGAAAAGGATGTTCCATTTAAGTTTAATGATGCATGTCATACTGTATTTGTGGAATTGAAAAAGAAATTGGTGTATGCACCCATCATTGTTGTTCTTGATTAGACACTTATTTTTGAATTTGTGTAATGTTAGCGACTATGTTGTAGGTGTAGTGTTAGGATAAAGAAAAGATAAAATTTTTCATTCTATTTGTTATGATAGTAAAACCTTGATTGAAACTTATATGCATTATACCACCATGAAAAGAGAATTATTAGCTATTGTTTATGCATTTGATAAGTTTCATTCATATTCGGTTGGCACTAAAGTTATTGTGTACAATGACCACTTTGCAATTAAGTACTTGATTGCTAAGAAAGATGCCAAACCAAGGTTAATACGATGGATTCTTTGCTTCAAGAATTTGATTTCGAAATTAAACACAGAAAAGGCACAAAAAATCAAGTAACAGACTATCTGTCAAGGTTAGGGAATGACAACCAAGGTAATGACTTAACTTTGATCACTAAAACTTTTCCTAATGAACAATGTTTACTTGTTGGCAAAAAGAACTTACTTTGGTACATTGACTACATAAATTACATTGTAAGTAAACTTCTCTCTTCTAATTTAAATTTCCATCAGACAAAGAAATTTTTTCATGATGTTTGGTTTTCTATATGTGATAAGCTGTTTTTGTTCAAGCAATGTTCAAATAGAATTTTAAGAAGTTGCATTCCAAATAAGGAGGTTGAAAGCATTTTGAAGCACTATTATTCTTCATAATATGAGGGACATTTTGAAAGAGATAGAACAATAGCAAAAGTCCTTCAATCAGGTTTGTATTAACCTACACTTTTTAAAGATGCTCACAAGTTTGTTTTGCATTATGATAAGTGTCAGAAAAAGGGGAATATTTCAAAAAGACATGAGATGCCGCTCAGCAATATCTTGAAAGTGGAAATATTTGATGTTTATGGATTGACTTGATGGGACCTTTCATTTCTTATTTCAACAATTGCTACATCTTAGTGGCAATTGATTATATGTCGAAATGGGTGGAAGCAATAGCTTTACCTATGAATGATGCAAAGGTTGTGTTGAAATTTTTAAAGGAAATCATCTTCACTTGATTCAGCACACCAAAGGCGATAGTGAGTGATAAAGGTAGCCATTTTTGCAACAAATTCTTTGCAGCTTTACTTGCAAAATATGAAGTGACACATAAGGTGGTAATTGCTTTTCACCCCAAATGAGTGGACAACCTGGTGTATCAAATCGGGAGATCAAGAGAATTTGCGAAAAGGTTATGTCTCCGTTAAAGAAGGATTGGGCTAAGAGACTTGACTATGAACTCTGGGTATATAGGGTTGCATACAAAACTCTTATTGGTATGTCTTCATATCATCTAGTTTTTGGCAAAGCATGTCACTTTCCGATTAAGTTAAAGCATAATGCTTTTTGGGCAATTAAAAAGTTGAACTTCAATTTGGAAGCAGTTGGTAAGAAGCGTTTGCTTCAGCTAAATGAGATGGATGAGATTAGATTGGATGCTTATGAAATGCCAAGATATATAAAGAAAAGACAAGGAGATGGCATGGTAGAAAGATTGTTGAGCATCATTTAAGCCAAGTCAACATGTGTTATTGTTTAACTCACATTTGAAGCTATTTCTGGACAAGTTGAAATCAAGATAGTTGAGACCATTCATTGTATCAAAGGTATTCCTGCATGAAGTAATGGAGGTAATGAGTGGTAAAACAAATGAAACATTCAATGTAAATGGGCAATGGTTGAAACATTATTGAAAAGGTGATATTGATCATCAACATTCCTCCATCAACCTTTCCAATCCCAATTAAGCTTAAAAGAGAGTCTAGCTAACAACTATAAAGAAAGCGTTACTTGGGAGGCAACCCAAGTTTTTCGTATTTAGTCATTTTTCCTTATGTTTTTCTTTATATTTCTTTTTAAGTCTTAATTTTTAGTTCATAAATCTTAATGTTATTTACTAATATTTCCTTGTTTTATTGTTTATGCAGGTGTAATAAGGGGAAGGGCAATAGGCTTGGTCTCGTGACACCATTCCTTCAGCATCGTAGCGTAGAAAACATTATCCATCTTTGAATTTCTAGTAGACTTGGCACCGCAGTGCTAAGAACACTACAATTTTCCAATCTCAAAAAAAATCTTGAGAGCTCTACACCACGACTCCATGTCTAGGCTGTTTCCTTTAGTTAAATGCTTCTTTTACCTTTATTCCGTTATTCAAACCCTAGACCCCAAATTTCTTAATTCTCTTTCAACCAAAAGTAGAAATTGCTCACACCTATTCATAAAAACTTTAAAAATGTAAACCTCGTTTCACAAAAACACAAGATTCAAGGATTTTGAGCAACTTTCTTCCAAAAAAAAGCAACAAATTATAGAATTATTTAAGTACTAAGTTCTTGCAAGAATTTTTGTTTTTGTGGAAATTGGCTACTCTATAAGAACTTTTTTGGTGATTATTGATGGCCTTTTGATATTTTTTATAATAAGTTTATTCTACTTGAAGATTTGATGAATTGAGTAGGTGATTTTGAGAATTTGATAGTTAACAAAAGTGAATAGTGCCAAATTTTCTACACTTTATAGTGGATGGTATTAATTTGGTGATTATTGGTGATAGTCACAGTTGTAGAGTAGCTTGTAGAGAGAATTGAGTAAGTTGTGATATTAGTCAATATTATTGGTGATTTTTGGGTGCATTGAGTTATTTGTGGTCTGAATTTGAATTTTGGGATCAAAATACCATGGCACCTAAAAGAGTTACGACTAGTAGTAGGAATTGGTTCGATAGGACTAAATTTATATCAGTTGAGGCATCTGTACGCCACATTCAATCATTATCACAAAAATCTCTGGTATTGGAAAAAGGCATTAGTGCACCCTCTATCCATTATAGACATATTTTGAACATTATTGAAGAAAGAAAATGGGAAAATTTTGTGCTTAACCAGAAACGACGATAATGCTAGTAGTGCGTGAGTTCTATGCCAATAAATATAAGCACAAAAATGGTGTTGTTTTTTATAAGGGTCCTAGAGTGCCTTTTGATAGCCATATAGTCAACCAATTCTACAACACACTTGATATAGAGATTGATGATTATAGCCAATATTTAAATGGAAAAGTGGACTTATATGAGGTTATCAATTTGCTTTGCAGCCTTGGCACTAAATGGAAGACGTAACAGGGGGTTCCGGTTTCATTTAAGGCGAGTGCTATGAAAAATAATTATAAGCTTTGGTATCACTTCCTTATAGCTAAAATGCTTCCGATAAATCATCTTAGTGAGTCACTAAAGATAAAGTAGTTGTTACACTATGCCATCATCTCAAGTAAATCCATCAATATTTGGCAACTAATTTTTAATAATATCGTTTATACTACTCGTTTAGTTAAAGATGGCCTGTGGTACACTCATCACCCCATTATGCAAGCAAGCTGGGGTTGCTCTTAGGGGCTTGTGGCATTTAGGCATGCGTCATTCTTGCACAAGCCTTCTGGCATACAGCTTGTGTGTGCAAGGTTTTTTAAAGTGTAGGCCTCTAAGTAGAGGTTCATTGTTTCATCATTATCGTGCGCGCAACCCCTTCTCATGGGCCCAAGCTATGTGCAACTAAGTAAAGTGTTGCCCCTTATTATAGGTCTAGGCTATGTGCGAGTAATGTGGCTCATGTCAATGTAACTAACTAGTGGGTGGGCTATTGAAGCGTGTGATTCCTTTGGACTTCTCGCATGGCATGACATTCTCCTAAACAGCCTCATGTTGTTTAGTCTTCTCATGCTCTTACTGCTTATGTGTAAGCTTGGTGAGCTATGTTGGCGTGCCAAGCCTGTCAATCAGCTTTTTAATGTTGGCACAGCTCGGACATTCAAATATTAAGAACATCTGGCAACTCCCTACCACGGATAACTCACTCACATTTGTCTATAAGCCTCTTAGCCCATTTGTCTTTAGATTGATAAAATCATATTGGGGTTAAGAAACGCTTATATATGTGATTAACTCGACAATCCTTGGGGGATGGGCATCACAAATCTACGGACTATGACAGCATCCCTAAGGCTATTCGCATAATTCCCCTTTTCATGCCTAGTGGAAAAGACGAAATAAGTCTTAAAGGTAACGTTTATTAAAGACACTCCTTGAAATCAATTTTGTCAACTCCTTGAATTCCAACTAATCCCTATTTGCACAAATATTGGGGAGGTAGGTTTAAACCTAATCATTATGATTGTACAATAAATCCACACCAATCATGATGACCAAATGGTTTTATGTTATGATGTAGTAACTACTGCCAATTCATATAAATGTTTATTTTAGAGAGATGTATATAAAACATAAACAAACAATAATTATATAATTAAGAAAGATTAATTTATTCATATTACTTAGTACACAAATAAAAGTAAGAGAGATGATTGTAATAATTAAATTAATATATGCTCTAATAGATATATATATATATATATATAATATCTGAAATTAAAATGGTAATTGGTGATTTTTGAAACCAAAAATAAAGAAAAATTAACAAAATAATTATCCCAATTAGATTTTTGAAAGATTTTGATATTTCAATAATCTATATATCAGATAGATAATTTGATAAATAATACATATTTAGACATTACCTTATGTGTCATGAAGATAGACTATTCACACAAGTGTCCATATCAATATCTTTTACCTAGTAACGATGAATCTTCTTATAAATATATTGTTATTATATATAGTTAAAATATATGTAGATTATTTGACTGTTCACACTTATTGTTAAAATATGCTAGCAATGACATATAGAAAAAATTGGTCAATGCGAGAAAGTTAAACATATTCTTATGCAATGTGAAATGAATATACTAACAAAAATAAGGTCTTCATCAATGAATATTCTATCAGTAAAGAGTTACATTCCATCAGCAAAGTTAAACATCAACAGATTTGGCAATAGAAAGTCCAACGGCTTATTGTCGAAAAGACCTTCATCGGTAATGCTTATTCTGTTGATAAATTATTCACCGTCAGAGATTCCATCAGTAAGTAATGAGATTTGTCGACATTACGACTACTTAATGATTCAACTATTCGATTGGCAACTTCTGTTAGTGACGTTGGGGTGTTGTAAAGACACCTGACGTTGTAAAGGACACCAATCATGGCAAGGTTAGAAACCCCACTAAGGTGAACCATCAATCTTGGCAAGGTTAGAATACCCCACTAAGGTGAAGAATAGCC